TAATTTTGTTGGACCATCAAAATAATTTTATAGGAATCTTAAGCACGATGAGCAGTGTTGCAAAATATTTTAATATCTCACAGCAACGAATTTTGTCGTTCTACTTAATTATTTTGATGGTCCGGCAAAATTATTTTCAGTATCTAGCTAAATTCTTAAATTCTTTACTAAAATCGCTCTTTCCGTATATAATTCAAAGGAAACGAGTGGATTTTTCGAATTAAATATGTATAAACAACCGCTCTGTTTATTTCTGTCAGTTAATGTGCAATATTCGAGAAACTTATAATCAGACTAGAGTTGAAATTCGCGGAATAAATCAATTTACGAAGTCCGATTTATAAGTACGTTTTCACTCTTGCGAATTATTTAATTTCGGCTTTCGGACTCTGCATTCTTCCACTCTTTATTTTCGCTCGTATGATTCCGTCGAATACCTTTTTTTTTCGCTCTTTTCTTTTTTTCCATCACTTTCCGGGATTGGACGAGATGCGCGCGAATGGTCGATCGTTGTGTATTTTGTTTTATCTCTCCCCCTCGCGCGATTCACTGAGCCGAATGTGGTTTTTCATTTTGCGGCATTGCCGACACGACTACACATCGATTGAACAGAATCGCCAAGAGCTGCATAGAGTAGTCTGCTACAAGCTGAACAGTTAAAACTTGTCCACGTGAAGAAATCTGGATTATATTTACGCCGCGCAATTTATCACTGATAATTATTTAAAATCAATGTGATATGCAATTTGATAGATATAAAATTCTCGAAATTCTTTGGAATGAAATCCCACTCTAAAGAATGTGTGAAAATTGACCTAGTCTTTATAAAGAGTGGCTCAATTTTCAATTTTTAAGAATAAAATTTCACTTCTCAAAGAGAGTCAGTTCTAAAAGTTTTAGAGAGAAGGCAAAAAGTAGAAAAGAATTTTGAAGCGAAATGTTTGAGTCACAAACCGTGCATCTTTGTACGTTCGAAGTACCCCTTTCACTTTTAGCAACTGATCGTGAGATACGATAGGTTTGTTCTACATATAGATAGGATGCAGCATGCACTAGACAGGTCCTCGTCCCGCGCGATGCAATTCGCATGCATCGCAGCACCCACTTCCTCCCCCATTTTTCTCCTTTTTCCTCCGCCGATGTGGAAGAGAAGGTGGAGCTTATGCGACCCTCGACTTCCGCTCGTTGGGGATCGAACAAGCGGACCCGCGTCGACGAGATACAGGGTGCCCCAAAGTGATCGTATATGCGTCGAGAATTGTACTTAAATCTCTCGAATCCGAATTATTTCAAGTTTAACGAAAATTTTCCGTATTTGAGTAATATCTTCTTTAATATTGAATAACCTGTTTAATTTCCATCAATATTAACTCGACTCGCGTTAGTCAGAAAAAGTGCGATTTTATTCTGGATTATTTTACTGCACTATTGATATTTCTCGCGGATTGTTCGGACAATGAAAGTAGACTGCACAGATCGCATAGAATTTACGTTATTCGAGCTAGTTCTCCTTGTTTGAATTTTCTGAATCCGTTTGACATGGCCATTCATTATTCGTCAAAGTTTTTGATGCATCGCTCTAAACTGCTCTAAACGGACAAATATAGAAAGTTCTTATCTTGATATATGGTTCTCTATCTCTAAATCGACTTTCTGTCAGATAATCTATTATCTCTCGGTGCAGTGAGGATATCAACTTTCTTGGAATAATCTGTACGACGAGGTTGTTCATGGAAGCGAAAAACTGGGACCGCGGACCATGCGTCTCGCACATCTACCGTTTTTCCGTGTCTCTTGCGTTTTTCTGCGCGCGGTCAGTACCGTAGAAGATTTTTCTCGATGAAAGCTGAGGAGTCTTTTTGTCATAACCAGAATTCGTTTAACTCAAATGAAAATGTACAGGGTATTAAAGAACTCTTCCATTTATCCTTTTTATCCGGGAATTGTTCTTTTATTAATTTAAAATCGATTGTTCAGTTTTTAAATACTTTTTCAATTAACCTTTGAATTTATTCTCTGACGAAACAAGATTCATTTGAAATCGTATTCATATAAACTTTTGCGTTCTTTGTTCTCATTGTAGAAATTTAATTCGTGGTAGGTTTTTTATTCGTTTATTCAGTAGGCAACGTTTTGTTAATATTTAAATATTTCTTTTATTAGGGATAAATCTACGTTGATGAAAGAATTTGTGGAAGTGAGAAAGTGGTTGAAGGCTCTTGAATAATGCTGCATAACGCGAATTATTCTCGCAGTTTAGTTGTCGACAATAATAAAGTCTTTAAACTGTTCTTTTCTTACTTTGCGTTATTAAATAGCAAGATTATTATTCGATAGAAAGTTTCATAATAACGACTAATACACCATAAATCATTATTGCTGCCTATATCAACGCGCGTCATCGCGTAGAATGTGCAATGTAACTCAACGCGCGTTTTTACAACGTGTTATCTAATGTTATGACGTTCGCTTCAAAAATATTAATAATTTTCTGTTGACGTGTACAATAATTTTTTTCTGTCAAGATTTATTTATTATAGTGAGCAACGTCTTGTACCATATATGGAGTAATTCACGAGTTTTCAGATTTTGCGATTGAATGAGGCGAAAAATGTCGGAAGCTTATTTGATCGAAAATCCGCGATTTTTCGATGAATATTAATCCATTTTGACGTCACAATAATATTACAATTTTGAACTTTAGCATGTAATGATTTTTCAATTCTTCTACGATCTCACTACGTATGATAGATAGTTCGTCTCGAGTTCATTTTTATCGTTTTTAGTATAATAGTATAATCTATAGTATAAAATATATAGGATGTATTCTAAGCATAAGTTAAAAATTTTAAGTGATGATTTTCTTACACAAACTCAAGATGAAAACTTAATTTATACAACCATATGAACATCTGAAACGTCTTAGTTTCAAAAATACATTAACTTTGACACTTTTTTGTTAATCTTGCTTCTTACATATACCTAGTTGTTTTGTAGTACCTACTTATTGAAGTAAATTTGATGAGGAAGTAACATTAAGAATTAAATAAAATTTTAAACATATACTGATCAAAATAATAAATATTTATGCAAAAGTTTATTTGGATTCACTTATTCGTTATAAATACAGAAAAATATGATCATTTGCTGTATAAAACTATTATAAGCCAAATTATTTTGTTTTGTTTTTTGCAGTTGCTTTCAGAGCATATTCACGAATTAATATCAAAAGTTTTGTAATGATACTGGCTGATGTTATTTTATTTTAACTGAAGGTGCAATTTTATGCAGCAAAGAAAAGCTGATGTTTTACCTCTGTACTTCACTACAATCAAAGCTGTTTACTTTTCTTCTGCTTCCTTTTCATGGAGCGTATCTTCGTTGGCTATAAGCCAATAAAGATACTCATTTATTTTCATTAACTTTTAATTTAAAAAAATAATAATATGGTTTACAATAGTGAATGCATTAAGTAGAATACAAGAATACGGCTATATAATAACAGTTACAGCTGCATCAGATATATGTCATGTATTTCAGCGATGCTTTACTATTAATTGAATAATATCAAACTTTGAGCTTAACTTTGCTATATGCAAAAATTAATGAAGTAAAATTAAAATGCCAGCTTTTTTATTTTAACTGCATAAAATGACATCTTGATTGTTTGACTGATATCGTAAATCTGATGTGTCATCATTATTTAGTCAAATACTTCTAGTATTTCAGAATAAAGAAATAGGCAGGACACGAATAACCCGAATGTATATTTAAAATTACTATCTACTATTACTGATGAAATAATAATATATTGCATTTATTAAAATATTAAACAAACACATCATTCACAACTCACAGTTAACTCTTAACCAAGATTCAACTTATTTATCATCTCTTTCCAATTATAGAATTAGAAAGAAATAAGAAAGAAGTTAAACCTCGGTTAAGAGTTAACCGTGAGTTGTAATAACTGGGAAAAAAGCAGATATTTTTCGAAGGAAATAGAAGCGTAGAAATTGAATGTAGTAGTAATTGTGTATATTTTCAACGATAAATTACAAATGACAAAGGGAGAATAACTTTCTTCTCGTTTAGTTTCTATCGTGACGGATCCCTCGAGGCGTCGTTTCGAGTTCTACGAAGTGCTGGGATAAATCTTGTAACGTTGATCCAATATCTGCTGTTATCCCCGTTTGAGTGAATTCCGTAACTTCCGGCAGTTTTCAATCCAGTATTTCGTCTTGTCCATTCGCCTTCGCCAAGATGTTCATGACGTATCCTCTTCAGAATCCAATAGACGTAACATCTTTATAAATAAAGTCTTTCACAAACGACTTGTTATATTTTTCGAAATTATTTCAGCGACTGTAACTTATTAATTGATTTATTCATAGAATATTTTTTTACTTTAAAATTATAATGATATTTATTTATACATTCTTTGATATTTTGTGACATATAATATTTTTTTTTAATTTTAACAAATTTTAAATGAAATATAGTTATACCTGTTAAATACAAGTCTGCGGTTCTTCTCTAAATGTGTGATTTTAACATGTCACTTTATCGTCGAACAAAGTTGATAAAAACAAATTTTATAGCATTTTTAATCTATCTTTTGACACACAGTCGCACACATGCGGAATTACTACACCAATTTCATTCGAGTTTTAATTAATAGTCATCAAATAGGAAAACCGTGCTTGTATTTGTTTTTAATTAACGTACCTCGTGGTTGAAAATTAGAGAATTCTACTATTTATTTATATGACAATAAAATTTTTGATGCTAAAAATTTAAAATAATTCACAAAAATAAAAAGATACAAATAATAAAATACAATAAAATGGTTAGGAAATAAAAGCAGCATGTTGTTACAAATCTTTAAATTGTAATAAATCTATTTTCTTGTTGTTTACATATATAATTTCACTTGGCATATTTTGACATTTTCTGTACATATGAAAATTTCTTGTATGTATGAATATTTTTCTGGATAGGTGGTGGTGACAGCAATAAAGGAAAGAGTAAGAAATGGCGGAAGATACTTCAGTTCCCACACATTTCCCAGTGCATCGGCCTAAAAGATAAACTGGGTGAGTCAGTAATAATTGAGGTTACAAAAACTAAATTAAGAAAAAACCGTCTTTAATAGAAAGCCATTTTTATCTAAATATCTCAAAAATAGTTTACGATTACAATTTTCTTGTAATGTAGATATTGTGTATAAAATAACCGCAGTAAAAAACTACTTAATAATCACTACTTCATGTGATTATTGAATCTCGGGCCTGCATGCACCATGTAGTGCGCATTATGCAGTTGAAAAAACGCTGCAAGGGGCGGAGAAACGAAACAATGTTCGTTGCGTGTCCCATTAACCTACTCTGATAACGCTCTCCCCTGATTTGAAGTAATGAAAACTTGTAAATATATATAAATGAGTCTCTTATATACCCGCGAATATAAACTATAAAATATAAAATACGCAAGAAATTGTTTTTCCTTCTATTAGAAGTCTGAATACTTAACAGCGACAATATTAAAATTTTGATAATAGAACAATTTATTGTTCTACTACTGAATTTATTTAATTATTAATCGCAAAGGGTATTATAAAATCGCTAATTATTTAAATAAGGTTTTTATATAGTTTAGACTTATTTTATTTTGTGAGATGTAAAGTTATAGTAATTTTATTGTGGAGATTAAGACGTAAAGAATTAATTTTCAAAAACATATAGAAATTATTTAGAATTATCTTTAGCCAAATAAATGTGACAATCTATCCAAGGATATTTCCGTTAATTTTTTCAACAGTAAGAAAAAGTAGACAGAAATCTTTTCAATCAACAAACAAGTAGCACTCTACGATTCACTTTTGACAGGATTAATTAATTAATTAGATTTTACGGGAGTAAATTAAATTTATATAATAGATTTATATTCGCGCACGGGACGTACAGTTTATCTCGGAAAAATAATCAACGTAATTCACGATGTCGAGCAGACATCAGGTACAGTTATGTGGTGGACCAGCAGCCGATTGGGCGGCTGCTTTTCCGACAATTCTGCCAGGACAAGAAGCCAGCCTATCATCGCTACAACCTTTTTCTGGACTCAATCGAGAAGTACGAGATTGAACTGGACGAGAATCGCATCGATCTGGCGAAAGAGTTGTTCGAGCAGTACCTGAAGCGGGAGGGTTCAGAGGTGGTCGATATCCTGAACGATTCCTTGATCTCTCAGTGCGAGGAACGACTCAGCACCGGCGGCAAAGAGCTCTTCACCGAGGTCGCGCAGACCGTGAAAAACTTCTTGGCTGGTGAGCCGTTCTCGGCTTTCCTCAGCAGTTTCTACTTCTACAGGTGAAGTGCCAATGAATAAATTGTGTATAGATAATATAAATTCGTAGAAAAGAATTTCTTTCGATGGAAATCTGATTCTGACTGCAAGAAAAAATTGAGAAATAGAGATACGTTTTTCCTACGATTCTTCAGGTATCTCCAGTGGAAATGGCTAGAGGCGCAACCAGTGACATATAAGACCTTCCGGATGTATCGGGTATTGGGCAAGGGTGGCTTCGGAGAGGTCTGCGCTTGCCAGGTACGCGCCACCGGTAAGATGTATGCGTGCAAGAAATTGGAGAAGAAGCGCATCAAGAAGAGGAAAGGCGAATCGATGGTATTGATCGAGAAGAACATTCTGCAGAAGATCAACTCCAAGTTCGTCGTTTCGCTCGCATATGCGTACGAAACGAAGGACGCTCTCTGCCTCGTACTGACTATCATGAATGGCGGCGATCTCAAGTTCCATATTTATAATATGGGCGGTGAGCCAGGTTTTGACATAAATCGCGCCCGATTCTATGCGGCTGAGGTCGTGTGCGGTCTAGAGCATCTTCATCTTCAAGGTATCGTCTATAGGGACTGCAAGCCGGAGAACATACTGTTGGACGATCATGGTCACGTGAGAATATCCGATCTCGGCCTCGCGGTGGAAATTACGGAGGGCGACATGGTGCGCGGTAGGGTCGGCACGGTGGGTTACATGGCGCCTGAGGTCATCGACAATGAAAAGTATACCTTCTCGCCAGACTGGTTCAGCTTTGGATGCCTACTGTATGAGATGATTGAAGGCCAGGCGCCATTCCGCGCTCGCAAGGAGAAGACCAAACGCGAAGAAATTGACAGACGCGTTAAGGAGGATCAAGAGAGGTATTCACCTAAGTTCAGCGAGGATGCCAAAAGTCTGTGCCAGCAGCTGCTAAAGAAGAGTCCAAAGAACAGACTGGGTTGCAAGTGCGGTCGACACGGGGCGAAAGAGGTGAAGCTCCATAGCTTTTTTCAATGCCTGAACTGGAAGAGGGTCGAGGCCGGTATGTGGGAACCGCCGTTTGTGCCGGATGTAAGTAGGTGTCGTTTGATGATCGATCGTCTAAATCCACATTGAAGTTTCATGTTCTCATTTTTATCCTCGTTTAATCTATTTGTTCGTCTATTTAAATTTCGTGAATGCGCGAGTTTAGATCAATTTTGCATATAAACTGTAATTGTACATAGAACTTTAACACTAATTTCGATAATTATACTATAAATTAGTATAATATTTATAAATTTTTAATTAATTTTCAAATATATTGTCATTATAAAATGAGATAATGCTCTAAGAAATTGCATAATTGTTAAAAATTTTAACGTTATAATATTATTTTTGTTTTATTATGTTTTTGTGCTAGCAATAAATTATTCTCTGCATAGAAGATTTAATGTATGTATATGTAAAAACATTGAAGATAAGAAAATTATTAATCGTTAATACACTTATCGTTACAGCCTCGTGCGGTTTACGCTAAAGATGTTTTGGACATCGAACAGTTCTCCACGGTGAAAGGTGTTAATTTGGACGCCACAGATGATACCTTCTACAGCAAGTTCAATACCGGCAGCGTGTCTATTCCATGGCAAAATGAGGTAAAATAACCGTATATACTTCACATTCGTATTATAATCACCGTTTGTGAGACATGTTGCGTCTCGAGAAGAAGAAGGCCTTTAACCTTTCCTATAAAAATAATATTGTTGCTACGTGGCACACAGTAGACGACCACTTAATAAGATCTCCGTTATAACATGAATGTAAATCGCATTCTTCGAACGCCCACGCGTCTCAAGCGCTTATATTGATATTGATAGTATTTCAAAGGATTTACATCTATATAACTCAAGATTATATAAATTTATAAAAGATAAGATAATCCAAAATAATTTTAATAATATTTTTAACAAATTTAATTTTCTTCTTTATTTAGACTTTGACTTTTTTCGGAAAAATTTTGGAAGGTAATGATCTTCGTTAATTGAGATTGAAATTATTGTTTTCCGATCATCAATTCCTATTAAACAGTTTACGCACTAAAAAATGAAGCAATACTCTGCTGTTAATGTTTAATTCTAATTCATATTTTATTCTAATTTTTTCTGACACGGTAAACGTGTTGAAACTTAAGAGATAAGGAAATGTCGTTTATGTAACATCTTTGTGAGATTAAAAATTATGTTTGCTAAAAATCTCGAAATAAAATTCTGAAAAAAAATTTAATTTGAATTTAAAGCGTAGCAAGAGAATAATAAAATCTTGTTACCTAATTACACTTCAGAGGATTTTGCTTCGTTTCGTTTTCTGAAAATATTACACGTGCATGCGGAACATCTGGAGAGCGGCACTTAGATCAAAAAATATGGAGCTCGTGCAAAGTGTTTTCCTACGTCAGAAGCAGCGCGAGAGGCTCGTTATCACTGGCGTTATTCGGGTAGATATATTTAAAGCCACGATGCTGCGTAAGACGCATTACGCACGAGCCACCTTTAGCTTCTCCGATGTTAAATCACTTACTACGCATCTCGCGGAGTTGAGATTGTCAAATCGCTATCTAACACGCTTTATTTTTTCTTTTTGCAGATGATAGAGACTGAGTGTTTTAAGGAACTAAATGTATTAGGTCCTAACAACACGCCCACCCCAGATTTATTGATAAACCATACACCGCCTAACAATGACGATAGAGGCTGCTTTCCTTTTCGAAGAAAGGTAGTTTTTTGTCGAAATTTTAATTTCGTTAATTAAAAATTATTTAAATCTAATTTCGAAGAAAAGTAACATTATGGCCCCATCAGACACTTAAGAAACATTTACAGAATTGAGAGAAATAGATGTATTTTGAGAATATTTTAAGATATTTTTTTAAATTCTTAGTTTAAAAAATATTTAAAAAAAGATACTTAAATACTTTCTCGAATATTTTTAACTTTCACTTGCAAAATAGTGTCTTTGTGTGTTATTAAATTAATTTAATAATTACTGTAAAAAAATATTGTAATAAAATATCATTATATTGCGATTGCAGAGGAAACAAAGCGATCGTACAAGAGAGATCCCGTTGTCGGAATGCCACTTGCTGGAATTGTCGCAGACACAGAGCTCAGAAATGCCAGCCAGCTGATCTATGGTGAACAAGAATAACAGTCTGAATCGATTAATGTCGCCACCATTTCGACGTTGCCGTCATCCTGACGTTACTGATGGCGCGCGTTCCGCTGGTGGCTGTTGCGTTAAAAGCAAACCGATCTCATTCTCCCTCTCGGTGGCACCCGAAGCCATGGCAACTACTCCTGAAAATGGTTGCCGAGTTCGCATAATAAGAAGTCGCAACGACTGCAGGTCCGAAGCGTCCCCTCAGGTTTATTGGGGTGAGATCAAAGATCTACTCCAAAATAAAACATGTATTCGCGCAATTTTACGTGCGCACTTACAGTTACGTATATGCGGCAAACAAACACGACACACGGAAGCCAGACACATTGTATGTTTCTGTCAAATTCGCATGACACGTTCGTTACCAAATATATTTTCTTCGAGCTCGAACGCGGGAATGCTCGACGTGCACTTTTGCACGTCCATCAACGTATATCGACGTGTTTTATCGAGCTTTGATGTGTCCAAATGCACGAATCGCGGGCGAGAGAAAATTTAGGGCGATATGCAGATAATGATTGTGTCACTCACAGCGCGATTACATGGCATACGTAATATTCTGAATGCGGAAATTCGATTTTCAGACTGTAGTCAGTGATAATAATTTCATTTCTCATTAACTATAAAATGACGCGCAAAATATTTAATCTTAGGTTTTGGTTTCATTTTAAGTTGAAACGAACGAGTACATCTCGGTGTACGAATGAATGTGCAATTATTTCTTCGACGTACTTATAAATCTTTTTTAAATTGATGAATATAAAAATTCAATTTATATTAATTTTCAAAGAGCATTTTTTCTTAAGATAGATGTTTATTTCTTATTGTTTTATTCTTAATGATTAAGGGGTTCATTGTTATTCCATTGAAAGAATCGGAGAGAATTATTTTGGCGCACGATCAAACGTAAAAAATTGTGAGTATGCTGCAATTTTATTTATTATCCATTCCAAATTGCTCCTAATGTTTTTAAGTACTTCCAGAAATTTCGAGACAGTCGGCGTTCCCTCGGTCTACCTTTTGGTTGTCAACGATTCCGATGTACTGTTTTGTAAGATAGTATTTATCTGAGGCGAATAAGCTATACGGCCAAGAACTTTGGTCGTAACCGCGTCCGCGCTTCAATGATTTATTAACGCGCTCGATAGAGTCTAGAATGGAACTCACGGGGGCCAAAATAAAGTAGAAACAGCTTGTAGGCGAGCGATAACAAGCGCGCACGTGGAACAGACGGGTCGTAAAAGAGCACGTGAAGAGCACGGCGCTTGTCTTCCCGCCCGCACGTCCGTTTCCTCGCTCGTTCGTTCTCGCGTATCGCGACATTAAGCTACCGGTAAACGGACACCCGACACTACCGCGAGGCAAATAAACACTCGCGTGCACTCGCGCGTTTATAAACGTTAACCCGATATATCTGGAGGTTGTAATTACGGAGACATATGCAACACATGATACAGCGAGTTGACGGCGCCAAGAAGACGCTACATCTAAGAGCGCGATGAGCGAATGAATAGTGAAGTATATTGTGATCCAGCATTACTCTAAACGGAGACACTAGATAAGTCTTACAAAATGACGAATGATAAACTCACGATAAAATCTCGAATGTTTCATAACGCTGTCACCCCATATGTCAACAATTATTATTAAAGTAAAAATAATTTTTATCTCAGATGCTGTTAACACATGCTGTATAAATTGAGTTCAATCGCGAACGTGGATTAATGGATGGAGCAAACATCTAGAAAATAAGAAATAAAAAGGGTAAAATACAAGAATTTGCATCTGTCGACAAATTAGAGTTTCCGGAAACCACGTTCGAGCGTTACATATTTTTTAAATATTGTAATAGTTTCGTGTCAGTTTTGGTACATTGATTCTATCGTACCAAATATTCGTATTATCTTAACACGAAAAATTTCCATCTCACAATAAATTGGTCCAATTTGAATATGATGATTTGATTTTGATAATAAAATCAAAATTTCTGACAAATTATAAATTTATTAGAAAAAATCTGTCATGAAAAAAAATTAAGATTCTTTACATCTATCTTGCCTGAAGAGACAGAGTTTTAATATTTTATTATTTTAAAATATTCGAAATTTCAGTGATGTTTTATTATCTTTATTACACTTTGGAAAACACTATTCGTAAAACGAGCGAGAAGCTCTTGCGAATTGGATTAACGGGCACATTCGGACAGTTCGCAAGCAATTTGGCTATTCTCCAATTGCGAGTCGTGTGCCAACGATTTGAGTTCCTACCAAAGAATTCGCTCCTGCCAGACAGTCGTCGCGAGTCATAGTCGAATACGTCATCTCCCTTCGTTGCATCTCGTAAATCCGAATGCGAACGCCGATGCACTCGGAATTCTTAATCTCCTTAAGAATCTCTTGCAAAATTCAATCCCGTCATGTAAAATAATATTTAAGAATCGATCAACGTTAGATAAAAATAAGAAAACTTTATTTTTACTTTATCGATCTTTGCGTTGCCTAACGCGATAACGAATTTCCGTCATTTATGAAGGGATTATACAGATTAACTCGGTAACTGCTATATCCAGTGAACACATTATATGCAGTTAATCTTGAAAGTTTGTTATCATACAGTATAGCTTCTCGTCGAGGAAGTACAAAGATAAATAGAAATTATTCAATTAAAATAAGTGTTTGAGGAAAATCTCATAGATTTAGAAGCAACACTAGGAAGCATGTAAATGATTTCTCGTCTTCGTATGTTTTTTTTATTCATACGAAACTGGTATAGGAAGAAAGATGCACAAATGATAGCAGAAACAGGTTCACATGCGCAGTTTTATGTGAAATATGAGTGAAGTAGAATTAATGAAATATACTCGAGACTTTTACGATTGAAATCTTTGAATTAATAAGCGGAAACTTAGATTAATTTTTGTGAATTGAATGAAAGATTTTATATTTATTAGCACAATTATTATACTGAATTAATGAATCGAATATAAATTGTAGAATTTAATTGTTACTATTAATTACGATAATATCGTTATTTATGATAATAACGTTTTTTTATGAGACGCATAAATTACGCCTAACAATCGCCATGTGAACAATAATACTTCGAACAAATTTCTCTTCATAACTTTGTACATAGCTTTTTGTTATACTTATGATAAGTAACAAGGCTTAATTTACAGGAATATTAAAAAATGGAGGTCAAATAAGTGTCAGAAAAGTTAAGATTTCTAAACATGTTTGTATATTTTTTATATATTAAATTTTTACTTATATTAAAGTACTATAAGTATTGAATATAAATAAAAAGTATTAAATATTGACATATCATATTTTAAGAAAATATTTAAAAAAAACACATTGTTATTTTATTTGTGTGAGTTTCTATATAAAATTTATTAAGTGATACCTCCGTAAATTATGAGATTTTAAATCTTTTTTCTATATATAACTCAAAATGAAAATTGTTTCTGGCACTTGGCTGACATTTAACGTTCATTTCTTAACATTCGCGTAATAATGTGTAGGAGTATATGTGTTTAGCGGATGATTGACTGAATGATGTAAGTTAGCCGATAATTAAACTTCCTCGACGTCTATGCGGCCTCGAATTATCGGTATGTACATGCATAGTGTGCACATAATTTATGTGAGAAACACTAATCTATCTGCAACTCTTCGAGATTGGTGTTGCGGTCAAAAATGTAGGAGACAGTTGAATGACTCAACGGTCTAGATCACTTTTGTCGAATAAACCCCAAGATAGACATTATGTCGCACAAATTGCAATTTTCCCGGCGCGAATGCAAAAGTATTATATTCGTCAAATAAGAAAAAAACCTTACTTTGATTTAAAAAAAATGTGTAAAGTAATCTTGGAGACCGATATATTTAATTTAATAATTTACGCGATCTATGTGTACAACAAATCATAAATTATTTAATTATCACTTAATTTCACGAAAATAAATTTCTGCCAATTTATTCTAATTTATTTTTGAAGAAACTTGAACGGTACTAGATTGTTAATAAAATTAGCGAGGAACGTACAATTTACAATTTTTTAACATATTGCCGATTTATAGTCTGTATTTTCTTTGCTGACTACGCACGAGTTCACTACTCAGAAAATTTGTAATCATATATCTTTTAACTGTGATTTCTCGAAGTGTCCTGTTTAATCTTGTTGTTATCGAATATTTCAGAAATATTTTTAAGGCATTACTTCTTATCGTTATTTCTCCTACCGTAAGATCTACCTATCATTTCACCATTATTTATATAAAAGCGTAAATAAGGGAGAGATTTGGCTCTAATGAGATCCGTCGCGAGATCTACTTGTAGATAATGATGTCCAATTACTATATATTCGCAAGAAGAGAATACCAAACTATTTAATAATTTTTCTAAGGAAAAATAAGCGCGTAATACTCTCTTATTCCCATAGAAAATACATATATTTTTCTGTCTGTGTATGTAACGTAGATTGATAGTTATACATACATATATATATATATACACAATAGACTGCTGAATATACGTTTGCAAATAGTGTCCGTTCTCTTGTACAATTCATATTTAAATTATGGATCTGTGTAAGCATTTTGTTGATGCGATTACCTATCTAATTCATAGAGATTCACGCGCGCAAGTGTATGTGTGGTGTAAGAAGCGAAGGATAAATGTGTGTGAAATATAGTTATTTAATCTGATCCAAAAATTTGAAGCATATATGAATCATAGGAGAGCTCTGATCAATATTATACATATATACTATTTTCTGTGATTCTGTGAATCTCATCGAAATTATACTTTGGATCATATTAAATAACTTTCGTTCCTGAGAGATTATTACCTAATTAATAATGATATGAATTCTCTCATTAATCTAATTTGTTGAGGCCAGGTTTAAGCGAATAATGACCATCGATAAAGTCATTAATGGCTAATAATTATATAACGTTAGATTACC